GTAATTTAATAGAAATAGATATAAACAAATTGTCAAATGATGCGCTCAGGAGCCAAACTGATGAACTCCATAAAATGAAAATTTGCAGGATAGGCAGTTAAAGTTATTTGAAACAATGTATGTACTTAGTGCGCCAAGTACAATTGCCAATGTATACTTAGCGCACTGTAGCGGTGAAAAATTCAACTATGGAGTTATTTATCTTGGCCACTGAAAATTATACACTTTTTTAATCCAACCATACTATTATTCGCAATTTGAAAAAGTGGAGTTAATCGGTTAGGCTACAACAATCAACAATGCAAAGATCAACCGTCTTATTGTTCATCGCTTCCACCCTAATACTAATTTTAAGAACATTTTTTTTCTAATTAATTACCGCATTAATTATTTTTATAGACCGCTGAAGAGGAAAGCAGTACAAGTGTAGTAATGCTTGAATGACCAAAAAATGTGCAACCAATAAAAGTTCCCGAAAAATATTGGCGTAAAATCGTGTCGCATCCTAAACAAATGGTAATTTTTGTAGACAATGCATTATTCGAAAATTACATAAATTAATTGGATTTATTTTTTATTTACAGTCTACGCTAAAGCATGCGTTGGAGGACAGAAAATGTCCACCTGATATTGTGCCACCTTATCTAAATCGCTGCACGGAAGACTCGTGGCCAGTTGGTATAAAAACTCCTATTGCACGTGCCGAGAATAGGAGTAATTTCACACATTATAAATGCAGACGGATTCCAGGAGTAAACGCAGCAATTTTGTTCACTTTTAAGAATACACATGTCCCTGATGTTATGAAAATCACACCTCCAGGAATTATAATATTTTTCAATGAACTGTATCAATTACCTGAAAAATTGTTAGTACTACTGACTGATTTCCCCCTGTACTTTAGTTTTACTCTTCAATTATTCAGAATGTATACAAAATACTTGTCAAAATTAAATAAACCATTTTCAACAGTTTTATTAATTAAAATAAGTCAATTATTACACAAATCTTGAAAACCACAATTTCAATTTAAAAATAAAAGAAAATAGATATTATTATTTTGGATGAAAGTTTCGTTAGTTATCTAAACCTATCTCAATATTATTTACTGATTTTTAATCGTTACGTAATTCCAGTACTATCCGAACTTCCAGAAAGTCTTATCCGGTTTTTGTTTGAGGTAAAAAAAATCAAAAAAATCTGAAGAGATTTTAAAGTAAAATGATATTATAGGAGGCTTTAGCACTCAAAAGTTAAAACGGTTTTACTTTTTTGTGTACTTAGCGATTGTATACGTTAAGATTTCAAAAAAAGATAGTAATTTGGGTTTTGTGTCTAAACTCAGTTTACTTACACGGAATGAACAAGTCTTGTTTGTAAATTTAATTTCAATGATTATTTTTAAGAAAATCACTTATTAAAGGATTTTGTACCAAAAAGCCAGGCAAAATATTGACTACTTATGATAGTAACTTTGGCACCTTTTCTAGGTTATTTAGGAAACACATTTTTTAATTTCAGGCATCATCGTTCGGTTTGGCTATTTCTAAGTGCAATAATAGCAAGTATAAAAAACTTGTGCCATTAATTTAAAAGCGATTTTATCCGAGAGGACTAGTACAGTATAGGCATTATGTAATCAAAGCAATGAGGAAACAGAGAGGTCACAGGTCTACAGGAATTTTTATAAATAAAAGTGATAAAATTGAATAAAATCACTTTCAAATAAACGCTTTGATGCTCATTTGTAAATACAGAACCTTAATTTAAAACTTTCTTACTTTGCTGGTTTATACTGTGTTTGGTTTGGACTGTACAGGCTTGAAAACTACCGATTTGCATCGAAGCGTTTTTTCGAAAGTGATTTTATCACTTTCAGATTTAAAAATTCCTGTAAACCTGTGACCTCCCTGTCCCCACTATGCCCCGACCCCACTGTACTGTTTTTTTTTTGCAAAACCGTAGTGGACCAAATAACACATATACAATGTCTTGTTATATTTTGATGGAATGGTTGACGTGGAATGGTTTCAATCGTTTGTACTCCATAGTTTAAATTATAATTGCTTATTCTCAATAAAATTAATATTTATGTATTATATACTTCCATTAGAGCAATCTCATACAAACTATTTATACTTCATAGATTATATTATTTCGAAGCTATATCATACTTCTATTTTACTAGATTGACAATGTACAAAATAAAATGCAACTAAAAAAACCTTTTCATAGATCCTTAAAATGTAAAGGGTGGGATAGTGAAACGGGTAGGTTCCCTAAACGGGTCCCATTTAAATACATTAGAAAATCGCCGTTTTACTACACCATCCTGTATATTAATTTCTTGTTATTTTCTAAAGAAAAATTGATTTTCTTACATTTAAATTGAAATAAATCGTATACTGGTACTGTGGTGGAGAAAACAATAAATTTTACCTACATATATTACTTATTAGTTAAATATTACTAACGTGTATAGCCACTAGCGGTCGGCTGTTACCTGTTATACAATAACCTTTTATGGAGATTTTAATAATAGTATAGCAGCAGTATCATGATGTTAAATGGTCACGAGATTTGATCTAGTCATAAAATAAAGTACTATCATTCATGACTTAAATACTATTAAAATATGTCTTAACTTGAACACAGTAATAAAATAATGAAATATTTTATACAAAATTAGAGCTACAAAATTATAAACTAAAAAATTAAAACTAGCACGAAACAGATTACATATCTCATAAAAGATTATTTGAACAATCAAGCGTGAATCACTTTAAATGAATAACAGTATAACAATATGCAAAACAATAGTTTTCCTTTAAAAAAATTGTGTAATAAAAAATACATTTTGGGGCGGTGAACTGCATAAAAACCAACACTTAATCTGAATCCAAAAAACAACAGTCCTCTTCATAATTTGCAGGTAGTTGGACCTTATATACTCATAGTTGACCTTCGTTAAGGTAATATAACGCAGACGATAAAATAACGACAGTGGTTTTGTTGTATCAGAATCATTAAGTGTCTTAATAACAAGTACACGGATAGGTTCTTTTCCCAATAAATCGTGTGTCTCCTATAATCAGTTACACGATTTAGTCGTCTGTGATATCATGTAATAAATACAATATTATGATAACGACCAAAGGGCCCTAATCTAACCTAACACGGATAGACGTTACCAACTGATAGTTTTTAGAGTATGTTCGTTTCTCACATCTGGTGCACTGGGTTTTTAGTTAAAAAAAAAAAAAAAATTGAATTTGTGTAAACTTAAAGTCAAAAGTGGTACTTGAGCACAAAACTTAATAGTATTATTCTGCATAGATATATATAAAATTGTTTTAATGATTTGATAGATTTTAGGTGTTTTTGTTAAAATATACGAAATCTGCGAAAACACAGTTTCCCGGCAATTAAAAAAAACTGTAGTGCCGAATTTTTTTCCCGTTTAATATGTTATGGATACATATGAGTTCCAACTACTGGCAAATTTTCAACCCAAAAATTTTAAAATTACGGCTAAAAACCCCGAAAAACAAAAAAAACTTGTACTCCCCCTAGGGGGGTGGGGAATGGGTGTAGTTTAAGTTTGACACGACTGACGTGTGCGGGCATACCAAATAATTATTTCTTATACATTTCAAGTTGATCCGACTCTTTTTTTCGAAATTATAGCCAGTAAAAGTTCTAACTTAAAAACTCTTACGGTTTTTTTTTTTTTTTTTTTAACTTTCGTCTGTGAAGAATTAAACTTTTTCCCCCCAAAGTACCAACTAGATGAAATTTGCGATTTATAGAGTTGCTATTCGAAGGAATTGGTCTAGTATTAAAAAAGTTACAGTGTATACAGATAAAAAAAAACACACATCAAAGTAAAACCAATACCTTCTCGCTTTGCATCGAAGCTAAAATATTAAGCATACAATTATCGTTCAATGTAATAATTTGTATTAAATTGTAAAATTGATTTTTTTTAAATAATTAAGTGATCAAAAAGAGTATTTTGTAATTTTAAATAGGTTAAAAAGTTTTTGTAGCTTTTTTGTATTATTAAAAAATGGTTTTATTGAATTAAAATAAAATGATGATCATTTTTTTGCATTATTTAATTTTTTAGTTCATTAATACACATTAATTACCGTTATCAGGTAATTTTTGTTGATTTTTTAGGTCATCAACTTACTTCCGAGCTCTATTTATAAGTAAAATTCATCGGTAAAGCACGTTGTGACGTGCGAAAACTCTGTACAGCCCTAAGTGATGAAATGACAAAGAAAAAAGAAACATATTACTTACAATAACAAATTAATTACGGAAGTGTTTATTACAGTTCGTCCGATCGGTCACGCTTTCCATCATAACCGCAGGCATAGAAATATATTGTAGACAGACAATGTTCATGTTATGATTAGCAACGCATATCCACACAAAATTTAGTGTACATTCGTGTCACTGGATGCGATCAATAGTAAGAAGGATGGTGGAAACATGTGGCATTACAAATCTGAATATAATCATCCAACGAATAATCGGACAGCTATTTTTAAAAAAGTTTTAAACTGTTATGGCTGGCCATTATAAACAAACACTATTGTTTATGTCGAATAAAATATAACAGTTTATTAATTTCAACTAGAGAATTTTAATAATTAAGTTTTTAAAGAAATTTAGTCTACTAAGAAGTATCTATGGTCAACCGTAAGCTCAATAGCTTAGCTCATGGGGCTGGCAAGCGTTCGGAGACCTCGGCAATGAGAGTGGAGCCTAACGAAGGAATGTGGTCCGATCTGATACATACTTGTTCAAGACCAAGAGGCAGATTAAACAATAGACATTCTATGCGCAGAAGATCCAGATCTACAGCTTCTAGAAGGAGTCGCAGTGGTTGTAGGTCTACCGGTAGACGATCGCTGTCAAGGTCTAAAGGTAAAAGTCGCCGTGCCACGTCCAGTAAGTGTCAGGGTAGATCGTCTAGAAGTGGTCGACGTATGAAGACGACCTATAAAAAGTCAGTGTCGGCTAGTAAAAGACGTCGTTCAAAATCCACCTCCAAAAAAAGCAGATCCAGATCTTCTAGCCAAAGACGTGCTAGGACGACAAGAAGATCTAAAAGTAATAGATCGAGAGGCAGGAAACGTAGATCGACGTCCAGTAAGAAAAAACAAAGCAAGCGTTCGAAGACGGACGACCAAGATTGCATTATGGTCACTTTCGGTGAATCGACTTCTACTACAGGAGCTAACAAGAAGGACGAAAAGCATACAAAGGCAAGGGAAACGGAAAACAAAACTCAGCATTCTGACAACAAAACCAACACTGAGACACAACAAAACAATTCCGAACAACACCGGTCAAATGAACATGCCAACAGCGGACAAACCAGCAACGAGACCAACAACAATAACATTTAAACCAAAAAAATACCTCTTGAAATCGTATATGTTCAATGTACATTAAATGATTTTTACCACCAATATTTGTAAAATGTATAGTTTATTTAGTACTTTGCATTATGGACAATCAGACGAACAATCCAGACGGCATTTATCACTACTCTTTAGATAATTTTAGCGTCAAAGGTTAGACAAGGTTTATAATATAGTCTATTTAGGATAAGAAATACAGTCGTCAGTCTTGATAAATGTTAGTGCATTCTTTAACGCCATCGACTGTGTTTTTAAATTGAATGGAATAGTAATCTATAATTAATAGTAGTCTTGAAGGAAAGATATTGGATCGTGAACATGTCTGATTTTTCGCTGTGGTCCGCTGATTTTCTATCTGTTATTAGTTATCCAAGGATTATCAATTTCACTTATCACCGTTACTCGTCATATCCGACATGTTAAAATGCAATCTGGTCAGCTGCGTCTCAACCCTAGGAAAAATTCTGGGGGGGGGGAGGGAGACAAATTAAAAATATCCAACCAAAAACAGCGCTATCTAACCGTTTAATTTATAATAAACTAGACTAGTGGTGGTGTACATGTTTTATTTTTGTGAACGGCAAGAAAAAATAAATTCAATAGTTGCGCATAACAACATAACACATCCGGTGGGCGTGCGTAGTGATGGTTATGTGTTAAACCCGTTCGAGCAAATTTCAACCATGGCGATTGCGCCGAAAACGACGGACAGGCCGCCGAAACCAAAGATAATCGGTTCTTGTCGTTTGTCGATTGCGTTCTGTGTGTTCTTGGCGGCAATACAATCGTCGTTGCTCCGGGACAACTTGGGACTCGCGTTGCTGTGCATGTCCAAACCGACCGGTAACACGACGTGCGACACGAGCGATGCCGTCATGCCGTCCATTCCGGGTTTCGGGCACAAGAAAAATTGCGAATTCGACTGGGACATGGAGCTCCGCGGCCGTTTGCTCAGCGCGTTCTTCTACGGTTACATACTGACCACGATGGTCGGCGGCTACATGGCCACCCGGTACGGGGCCAAAACGCCGTTCATGTGGGGCGGTATCGGCAACTTGGTGGTGCACGCGCTTTGCCCAACCGCCGCCGTGGTACACACCGAATTGTTTTTCGCGTGCCGTGTCGTGCAGGGTCTGCTGTCCGGTCTGACCATAGGCCCGTTGTTCCAACTGTTCAGCCCGTGGACCACCGACGACGAAGGCACGTGCCTGTTCAATTTCGGCTTCAGCGGGTTCGCCCTGGGCACGATCGTCACTTATCCGATGAGCGGCATGCTGTGCACCGCCGAGGTGTACGGCTACGGCGGTTGGCCGTTGATATTCTACGTGCCGACCGCCATCAGCGTGTTGTTCGTCGTCTACTGGTACAAGTACCTGTACGACGTGCCCGACAACCATCCGAACATCAGCCAAGAGGAATACGATTACCTGTTGGAGAACGTCGGCATTAGCGACGAGCCGGCCGTGATCCCGTGGTTCTCGATTTTCACCTCGATGCCGTTCATCGCGTACATGGTGTCCTACACGGTGTTCATGTGGAACTACCTGACAATGATCAACAGCATGCCGATATACATGCAGACCATGTTGAACGTCCATTCCCGCGAGAACGGAATCATGAACAGCATACCGTACTCGTGTTCGTTCGTCACGCGTCTAATAAACGCCCAGACCTACACGGCCGTGAGAAACGCGCTGGGCGTGTCCAACACAGTCGGCAGAAAACTCTATCACACCGCCGGTTGTATGCTGATAATAACGTCGTACGTGTACATGGTAATGGAACCGAACCTCACCAAGTGGCACGTGGTCGCCGCGATGACGGCCATTCTATCGTTGGGCGATTTGGCTTACACCGGCGGCTTCTTCCCGACGCTACTCGAGTTGGCACCCAACTACGTCGGGCTGCTTTCGGGAATAGCCACGTTCGTGTCGTACGCGATCAGCAGTTCGTCGTCCGTGGTCAACAGCATGATTGTCAAAGAATCCACCAAAAACGATTGGAATAATCTGTTCTGGTTTGTCGCCGGCATGTTCGTGTTCACCATGGTGTTTTATTGGATATTCGGTTCGGCGTCGGTGCAAAAATGGTCTACGGTGCAGCACCCAGTAAGCGAATCGGGACGTTCGCGTTCCACTTTGCTGATGACACGTTCGTACGGCATGTCCAGAACAATGTCGATGAGACGACCTACACACATGTTTTAAAATTTCAAAAAAAAAAATATATATATGTATATAAAAATCTATTATATACACAATGTATCCCAATTATATTCTACGCCCAAATCAAAGTACAAGAGGTCGGAGTGATTTTTATATGTCTGTATCATTAAATTTGTTTAATTTACATTCGAAAATGTTAATAACACAATCAAAATATTGTCTTTTGTTTTTATCGTTTTCTTTAGAACATAGCTGCAGTGATTAATTTTTCGTACACGTTTCACGACGATTCGGTTAAAAATATTCCAATGGGATAGAGCCTAAAGTCTGAAATGGCATATTTATACTCTTGTGGTGTACATGTTCGGTGTTGTTTGGTATTGGGTTAAAAACAACTAAATAATTCCAATCATAAACACACCAAGACTGGAGTAATTTTTTATTTTACACATGTAAAGTAAATTACATTATTACAGTTACAAAAATTGCTCAATATGGCCGCCATCTTTTTTAATACACATTTCTAGCCTTGTTGACGCTCTTACTTTTGAGTAAATATCTAGTAAATCATTTAATTCTCTGGTTACAGTATTTATGCGGTCTATTAATTCGTCTCTGGTAGTAACTTAATTTGCATACATTTTTTTCATTTAAATAGCCCCATAAAAAAAAGTCATAGGGCTTCAAGTCGGGGCTCCTCGGTAGCCACACAATATCTAGCCTGTAAACTGCCCGATTATACTTCCTGCCGGTTAGTCAATTATTTTTCCAGGGAATTTGTGATATAAAAATTCTCTGGCGGCATTTGTGTGGTGTGGTGGTGCACCGTTCGTCATAAACCACATTCAAATAAGTTAGGCAAATCATTTTTTAATTAAATTGTAGAAAACTTGTCCAATTACCCTATTAGGTAAAATAAATGGACCGATCAATTAATCGTCCACAATGCCGCATCAAATATTCACCGAAATTTGTATTGCGACCCAGATATGTGGATTTTCGGTTGCCCAGTTATATAAGTTGTGTTGGATGAATATACCATCTTTATTAAATGAAGCTTTATTCGTAAATAGTATTTTATTTAAAAAAGTTTTATTATTTAAAATTCGATTTATCAAATTCCTTGAAAATGTATTCCTTACAATACGCTCACCACCCACTCGATGTCTTTGGGGTTTTCCTATCAAAATAATAAGGTCGCCCCTCCCACCTGTCCAGGGTGGCGACCCTGAGGGGATCTGCAAAGTTTTACATACCTAAGAAGCAAGATGAAGAACACAAGATGGCCGCAGCAAAACAAATATAATCTGCAGGATAGCACAGGCGAAAAGGCCTTCCTAGATAAAAGCCACATAATAACTACTTATAGCTGTCGTTGTTCAAATCACATAGTTTAAGTCAACTAAGCTACACTACATCTACGGCATTAAGGAAAACGGTAATGAAGACGCTGCTAAGCTTGTTAATGAAATCACGCAAACTACACAAAGTAGAGCCCAAAAGATTCGAGCATTGTGGGAAAAACAAAAGCAAAATAAAAATCCATCCTTGATGTCAACAAAGGAAGCGCTTTCGATAATTATAACTGCTTCTTTATCAAAGTTTCAGTATAATCTTCTACGAAGTAACGCAAAAAAAATATAACCACGAATTATACCCTTCCTATAATCAAGTTCTTGCTGCTAAAAATAATGCGTATCCTGATGATGTAATAATCACAGAGGAGTAATGTGAGGTAATAAAATTCATAAATTATAAATAAATAATCTAATTTTTTTTTAATATTAATATATTATTAGGTACCATTACAATTACTTTTAAATCACTGCAAAGGGGCTTTTGCAAAGTATTTCTATAAACATAGAAACTAATGTTATTTTACACTGCAAATGGGGTTTTGATGGTACCTCAGGATTTTCAAAATACAAGCAAGTAACTACTGAAAGTTCCGAGGATAATACTTTGTTTGTATCATCAATGGTACCTATTTGTTTAATGAACGAATTGACAAATAAAATAATATGGTAGAATCCCACTTGTTCTCAGTTAGATATTGTAGGCCAATTCGATTACAATATATAAAAGAAACTACTGAGGTATCCCAATATGAAGAAACATATATAGGTGAACAAATTAGTAATGTTTGTCCATTGAAAACTGAATTTGGAATTGTCAATTTTAATATGGAGTTCATGATGATTGATGGAAAGGTATAATATAATATTTTGTTTTTAATACTTGTTAACTACTAACAATATATTAATTCAATAGGTGTGCAATGCAATAACCCAAACCTCATCTATGGTGTGTTACGTGTGTGGCATTAAAATTTCTGAAATGAATAATTTGGCTGTAATAAAAGAAAAACCAGAAGCGGAATCTTCTTTTAAGTAATTATTTTTATTATATGCGTTTACGCATTTTACAATGTATGTATTCAATTAATATAAAAACAAGAAATAGAACAAAAACAGGGTTTCTCTATGACGTGGTTTGCTTACGCCGTTTGCTGACACGGCTACGGCAACACAATCAACACCGGTGGTTATCATAATCAGCCCACCTCCGACCAATGAGAGTGTTCGAAACCGACACGCCCTCGGCCAATCACCGGCATTCACGCTTTACCTGTGACTATATAAGGAGGTCGACACTAATTCAGAGCTCACTCTCTTGCAGACAACCGAAGTACATTCCAGGTGCACTTCAGGTTCACTCCAGTACACTCCATGTACACTCCATGTTCACTCCGGTGCCACTCCAGCGACGACAAAAGCGATTATACCACAGGTCACACCAACAACTATTCCTCTCTATCGTTTACCAAATCCTCCGGGTTATCAACCCCAAGACTACGGAAATTTTGGTTGAGCTCGTCTATCCACATTTTCTTCGGCCTACCCAGTGGTCTTTTACCTTCTACCTAGTTTCCAGTTAAGCGCATCCTTCTTTATTCCACGATGTCCTGGCCTGCTCATTTTTCTTCCTCAAAGTATTTGTGCAATGTCTTCTTCCCCCCCACAGGTCTTTAATTTCCTTATGAGATCTTATTTCATATTCACGTGTTTGATCATTTTTTTTTTGGACCAAAAATGCGTCGTAGGACTTTCCTTTCTAGAACTGCCAATTTATAATTTATAAATTTAATTTAACATCTCGATCCCTTAATGCATGCTTTCACCCCTCAACATAATAATAACAATAATTTACTTATATTAAATGAGCATATCAATTCAGTAGAACATGAACGGTTTCTGTAAATACTCGTCGCTCAGCCGACCTAAACGTAACCTACGCCCTCACGTACTACGCTTACAAGAAACCAATCTAAAAAACAACCACATCGCTCAGATTAAAAATTACGCAGGATATTTTAAAAACAGAACAACGCAGGGCAAGCGGAGATGTAGCCACTTTTGTAAGAAATAATATAGAAAGAAAAACATACCACTTATAACTTACCACGAAGCATTAGAAATATTATTAATTATCAAAAACAATTATGTGTGTACAATCGCGATATAACATGGGGATGCAACTACACAGATGGAGAAGAATTAAAACAACTTCTAGACGAAGAGTCACCGATCCTTTTTAACTCCAATGAACCCACCAGATACAATGTAGCTAATGGAAGTTTCTTATCAAAAGATCTCAGCATAACAAACATAAATTCTGCAACACTATTTGACTTGCAAGTTTAGACAGCATACAACACCAGAGACCACTAGCTTTTTGGAATACAATATCTCAATCACACATCCCCTCAATCACACCTACCCAAAAATGGAACCTCAACAACTTTAATTGGGAACTTTTTACTGAAATTATCGAACAAAATACCCTATTAAAATGTACACTTCCGTAAATCAAAGCATAATAGATTTAATAGTTACAAAATTCACAGAGTTATAGATGCAGCAAACAAATCAATAAGTGTTACAAACCCTCTAAATTAAAACAGTTCCATTGTGGAATAAAGATTGCCAAGAAGCTATTCAAAAATATAAAAAAAAGCTCTAAATCGTTTTAGAAAAACCAAATTTACAGCAGATCATATCGAGCTTAAAAAAGCAAGAGCTAGAGCTAGAAATATCACTAAAAAACAAAAAATTGTGTAATAGTAAAATTTTACGTCCAACATTAAACTCAAGACTAAGATTTCTGGTCTAGCTGCAATAAAATAATCTGGCTTTTAAAACTTTAGTTACGTACATAAACAAGTTAAGTTGTAGTTTTAACATCGACTATTTTTATATTGTACAATTATACTCTCATTTACTAATTAATAGTTAACGAGGGATTAAATAAAGTAAAAATTAAAAAATTGGTCGTTGGAAACAAGTCCCAGAAGTCGTATACAAAACGTAGGTACTTTTTTAAGTCAAACGTTAAAAAAAAATCACCGCTCTACCATTGAAAAACACGCAAATAATTATCCAACATTAAAAAGTAGTAACATTATGAAAATCAGTTTCGTTATTTCTAAATATTATCGCGGGTTGTGTAACCTTAGAAACCACCACTTAAAAGTGCGTGTATTGTTGTATAAACTAATAAATAGTAAACAATATTTTAGATTCAAATTAGGTGCGAAGGACAAATAATTACACAAAAAATCAACTTGAAAATTCGATTTGGATGTCTAATGAAAATGCCAATCAAAACAAACCAAATACTGCTGGCAACAAGACGAAACGAGAGAGTAGCAAGAACAAAACAAAAGAGAGCGGTAAATCGAAAGAAAAAAAATTGACGGTCTTAGAGAGCCACGGGTACACAGTAGGCCGCAGCATCGGCAGCGGATCGTACGCTACAGTAAAGGTACTTGCGTAAAATGGTCTAAGACTGTATCGATTAACATATCACAGCGTATAAATAACACTTGAGTTATCCGTTAATTATAAATACCAAACTAAATATGTTTACACTATGCGAAAAATGTCTTCAACGTTTACAGTGTGGTTAACTCGAATCGATCGCCACTAAGTTTAGATGCATAATGTCATTGAAATCACCTTAACGTTCCTACACCTCCTGTGCAATATAATTCCCTACTAGGTTAAGTTGAAAAATCTTGTTTTGCATCGTTGAAAAATTAAGAAAAACAATGCCACCCGATTTTTGATTTAAAATTAAGCTGAAAAAGGTTTGAACAATAACTTGACACTGTATATCTAGAGAAAAGGAGGAAGAACAATAATTTTTCTTATAGCTATCACATATCTTATCAGCTGAAGTTAGGTAATCAGTCGCTGCACAATACGATTTTCGAAAAGAAAAAAAATACTAAAAAAACGATAAACAAACATCACAATAAGCAAATAATGACAACAACATTTATACTTATAATACGGTTTTTTTTTGCAACTGCTAATGAATCGATACAATTAATATAATAACAGTTTGAAGCCATTTGACAGCAATCAGTGTGAATGTATTTTGATTATTTTAAGTGGATTGTTAAGAATCTTTGAAGAATGGAATGGCTTCTACTTGGACTATTTCCATGTTGAGTCATTATGGTGTGTTTATTTAGAGCTAAGAAGGTGTCTTTTGACCTATGATGTGCGACATGTTATATGTGTTGTGGCTTTTGGTCATATCTGTGAAAGCGATTTCCGGTTCAGGTTGTTTTGCCAGGTTGATCTCCTTAATGTAACTCTCTCTCTCTTTGTAACTTGTAGTTGGTGTAAACAGAATAAAGTCAAGTTACGACATTATTACACTTGGTTATAGCTTGAAATTCGCCAAGCAAACGGCCTAGCCGTAGTATATATAATCCTTTTCCAATGTTTTTAAGATTGCCCATTCGGAACGGCACAAAGGCGACGTGGCCATCAAAATTGTATCGAAAGTCCAAGAAGCTGCCGACTACCTGGAAAAATTTTTGCCACGCGAAATCGAAGTTGTCAAAGGTCTGAAACACGAGAACTTGATTAGATATTATCAGGCCATCGAGACCACGCACCGGTGAGTGATTTTAGACAAGAGGATTGGTACGGGAGACGTTGTGCTTTGTGCAGCGAGTATACACATGATCAGTACATCAGGGCTATTTTACAGGGTGTACATCGTTATGGAGTTGGCGCCCAATGGCAGCCTGCTGGATATCATCAAGCGCGACGGTCGAATAGACGAGGATCGTTCGCGAAAATGGTTGAAGCAACTCGTCGGCGCCGTCGGATACTGTCACGAGAACGGAGTTGTGCACAGGTGACAACTACAATTTCATATAAACAATGCTCCACAGGGAGTAATCCAGGTGTGAGAAGACCTTAGTAGGCATAACTTAAAAAAAAAGATTTATATTAATAAACCCGCACTGTGGAGTTGCTGCGGCACCCCGGGTGTCACGACATTAGTACCTATCTAATAACAGGCAGACTCTGTAAGTTTGTCAGTACTTAATCCTTGTCTTAACCCCAAATAATTACCATCCCCCACGACGTGTCACATCTTGTCCTCGAGCTAGTCGCAACACGTTTTTTCGGTCTTAGAACTCAGTTTACCCCTTACCAAAGTCAAAATGTAATTAAATACAGCTTCCCCTCCCCCCCCCGCGTGGTTACAGAGACATCAAATGCGAAAACTTATTGATGGACGTCGGCTACAACATCAAGCTGTCGGATTTCGGTTTCGCCCGGGCCAACATGCTCAACAAAAACGGTCAGATGGCCACGAGCAACACGTTCTGCGGAAGTTACGCGTACGCGTCGCCGGAAATACTCAAGGGCACGCCATATCAACCGGACGCTTCTGACGTCTGGTCCGTCGGGGTAGTGCTGTACGCCATGGTGTTCGGCACCCTTCCGTTCGACGACACCAACTACCAGAAGTTATTGAAAGTGTGTGTGTGTTTGTGTGGCTACTAGTGGCCTTTTGTGTTCGACTTAACATCTTATATTTGCTTTGTGTGTGCGCAGCAAGTGCAAAACAAAGTGTCGTTCCCGAAAGACATAAAGGCATCGGAGGAAGTCAAACAGCTGATCGTCAAGATACTGGCACCGCTCCGGGTGCGCTATAGGATATCGCAAATTAAAAAAGACCCGTGGTGTCAGACGTCCAAAGTTAAAATACAAAAGAAAAAAGAACCTTCTGCTGCGCCAAAGGTACCGTAACAGGTAATTTAATCTGTATTTGTCATTGGCCAGGCAATTGCCGCAGGTAGTTGCAGGGCGAATGTCAACGCACACCCGAATTGCCTTCCGTTTCATCTTCCAAAAAAACACGTCTTACAATAAGTTGAACTTTGTTTCTTATCAATCGGCTCTATCGGCCAATCAACAGTCTTCCACCAAAATGTATTAGTAACTTGTAAGGTTTTGCTAAGCCATACAAATGAAAAGTTAATAAAAAAAAATTTTTCTTTTTCATTACTATTTGGTTAATTTCAATGAATAATTTTACATTGTGAATTGCACAGATTTCATTATACTTTTTAAACGCGTAAATAATAATATACACTTAACACTCTTTTATGGTACCAATCAAATAATTTAAAAACATTTTATATTATAAAATATCTAAACCTTTTTTATGTTCATATTTTGTATTGTTACTTGATTTGATTGTTATTAAAAGTGATTTTCGTAAAAATAATGTCATTAATATTTTGGTAAAAAAACATATTAAATATAATATAGTTATATTATTTACATCTGAGTCTAAATTTGCTTTAGTACTACAATTTATACGATGTATATTTGTCTTTGATTTTGTCTTTACTGTATTATTATTTATTCACTATTTTTTTTCGTTATTATTAATCAGTTAAGCGAGAAGAAACACAAATAATAATTTAAGTAGAAATTAAAATTATCTCGTGACAACAGGTAGGATAATTATTTTTTTAAATAAATTTACTACAAATTAGGTGTCGTTATTTAGTTCAGCAAATACATAACTATCATTAATTGCTTAACCTTAAAAAAAATGTTTGTCAACAGCAATAACACATTCAAATATTAATACAAAATAATATCGAGTACATTTTTATAATGATTAAAAACCCTATAATTTGTAATAATAAACAAATATTTTTATAATTAAAGGTTTTTTTTTATAACATGAATAAAAATAAATATTTTGTACGATAATCCATTATTTTCATACTTATTTAGTCCGTATTAATATTGTGTTTGTTTTGTTAGGCGGATCCGGAAAACGTTACACAACAATTAATCAAGAAAATGTTGATGCCAGACGGTGTAGCAAAATAATATTCAACTATTATAAAATACTATCGTCTTATAATAACAAACAAATTGCACTTTATAAATCTCCGGTCATACGTTTAAAAATAAAAAAATTAATTTCTTTTTGTCTTTTATTTTTGTTTGATGATTGCTCTGAATATTATATTGTTATAATGTAATGATCAATGTATGTAGGTGAATTATACTATTGTTTATTTACAAAATGTATTACATACATTTATTGGATTTTATCGAAACTGCAAAGATAAAAACTATTTTGGGGTTACTCGAGTTTACAAATATTCAATAAGCTTTGAGAAAATACGTTTTAATAATACCATTTCATTTGTTTACTAATATCTTACTCGACAGCGGCAAATAGGGCATTTTATGTTGCTGAGAACTGAATTCATAGACTCTTACATAAAATGGCCCCAAAAATTTACCGCTCGCATTCTATTTATAATATTTTGTTACTTTTAGCTTCGATGCGGAGCTGAGAAGGTATTGTTTTTACAATGATATGTCTTTATTTTTTTGTGTCTGGACCCACGATATCTAGTAAACCTCTGAACCGATTTCTTCGTGTAGCAACTTTATAGGTCAGAAATCATACCTGGAAGGTACTTGAACATGCCGAAAATTAAAAAAAGTCACCCCTTCCCCATCAAAATCGAGAAAAACACCTAAAAAATGTACAACATTTTCAACTTAAAATTACGATGCTCTACAACTTTTTTAAAAATAGTCGAAAATGTTCTCTAATTTATATGTATTGTTCTTTAAACATAGTACTATCGATAAACATTAACAAACCAAAAAAATATCATAAACCCTTTCCCTTAGAAGGGATATAATTTTTTTCTTTATTTCACTTTTTCAAGCAGAGTTTTAGAGATGTAGATCTGAAAATTAGACCAAAGGTAGATCTAAAATGGAACTATAACATATACAATTTTCTCAAAAATCTAGTCAAATTTTTATTTTATTAAGAAAAACCCCCAAAAAAAGGGTAAATTTACACTTTATCCGTAGTCAGTTTCTAGGTTGCTATGCGCGAGTGAATCAACAGTCAACAGGTAATGAAAATATTGACAGTACATTTTTATAGACAGACGATCAACCCTTATCGTATCCACTCTGCACAAGACTAAATATTACATTTTAAGTACATTATTACTGGTCCCACGATATCTTCTAAACCACTATAACTAGTTTGAACATACTATTCACAGATTCGCATCGAAGCGTTTATTTAAAGGTGATTTTATCACTTGCAGTTATAATACAATTTGTAGACCTGCGACCTCTCCGTCCCCACTATGCCCCGACCCCACTGTACTGGCTTTTTTTTTTTTTAATTTGTAATATTTACCACAGTCGTCGGTTGCGTTGACAATGAAACTTCCTGCTCTATATTTAAATTACTTTTTTTCGAGTATAATCAGGCCGGATTTGACGGAGGGCATTAAAGGCATATGCCCCGGGTCCCCAAATTTTTAGGTGCTCCCAAGGCCCGCAATTAAACAATTTATTATAATTGAATTCCCGTTCTGTATTTAAGAAAAAGAATGAAGCAAGATATAGATTACCTATATTGGAAAAAATGTTGATCAGACTTATGTTATTAAGTTTTTATGCAAACGAGGATTGGCTTTACACAATCAAGCCATTTGTGCAACTACTATATTTGTGCATTATCATATTAGCTGCGCAAACTGTAGTACATACACCTCCCATATATTTGGGAGGTTCAAACTTCAGTTGAGACTCTGTCCAAGAATATCACGTGATGTGAAACACAGAGGATGCCCCAATAGTTATTGTTTGTTTGACGGGGAAAAAAATTAAAACAGAAAAGAAAGCATTGTGGATGAAGGAATAGTTGAAAAAAAAGATTGGCTTTAGCCATGACCGATTAGTGGCAGAGCTTAAAATAAGTTCAGCTGTCGACTACCAAAACTGGGATGCATTACGTTTTGTGAGCTGCTAGAAGTCAACATTTTACCACTTTCTTCAATTATATCCGATGCATATCTCATTTAAATTTAATATATAGACGCATATAAGGCAAAAGGTCGTAAACGACATTTTTGTAATTGTACAGGACAGCCAAAATAAAATACAGTACTTTTTTTGTTGGGAAATTACCTACTTAGAAGTTCTAATATTTATATTTTTATTCATCATATATAACGTTAACATGTAATATCTTTTGGAATATTTTACTTTTTTACAAAAATCTTTTTCATGCAAATTCGATACATTATAGTCATTAATTTTTTTGATTTTTTTTTTTGTAAAGCACTGAGAAACTATAATTTTCTAACGGACAAATAATAACATGGACAATTTCCATGCTTGTAAATAATTATTAAGATATTACAAATTATATCATAATATTGTAGTTGTGTGACAACTTGAAAAGTTTACCTAAGTCACTATTTATTGAAGTGAGAATGGAAATCGGGCTTGAGATCCAGGGCTAACTGTTTTGTTAATAAAATTATAAACAAAAATTATTATTACAATTGGAAAACTCCTATTCAAGCAATTTTAAAGTTTAAATGATGAGGACATTTTAAATTGTAGTATACATAAAAAATTGGACCTTATCATAAAGGACATTAATGTATTAAAACTCGATAATAATAAGACGGTAACAAAGGTTAGGTAAAAACGTAAGTTATAATTTTAATTTATAATTAAATTATTGTTAAACAATAATAACTACTTTAAAGTGCGATGTATGGTGGTGTCCGAAGCATTCTGACTGCGGAGGTATTACAAAACATCACAAAAACCACCGATTCTGATGCCCGCGTCATTAAACTATCGAAAAATCGCTATTGGTCAAATGGATTAGAGGTAACTAATTATAGTATAGATAAGAGAAAACCATTGATTCCACATAGAATTTACAACTTTTTTTTAGATGAGGTGCTGCCAGAGGATCGTAAAAGTGGTTCAATGAAAGATTTTCCTAAGCCTTCATGCTGGCCAGCTGTTACACTAGATAAATCATCAACAAGTTGTTGAACTGTTTTATTATTACTATTTTATTTTTTTTTAATAAAATAATAAATATAATTAAACAAAATTTAACAAGTTTAATATGTACTTACTCTTGATTCACAAATACAAATGAATGTATAATAATGAAAAGTAAAATAATAATAGTCTACGAAAAATGTTGGAAAATAATATGGATGATAACAGATAAAAAGTAAATGATCGGCTTATCAGACGATAATATCGAATACAAATTACGCTTAACAAAGTCACACATTTTTGAGGGATCACAATATTTTACCTCTCCATTGTATAATTACCATCAGCAAATACCTGTAGGCCATAAAGAATAAATGTGAATCCTACTCATCCTCGTGTTGACTGCATTTTGCCGTGTTTTTGTTTTTACTTGTACTCGTAAATATTAACTGGCTACTTCTTTGTGACTTGTGACTTGTGTCAAACACATCTTTAAGCAACATGTCTCGTAGTTTTAGAAGCAAATGTTTTTACATGGATTGTAATAAATCTGCACGTGGGAATCCTAAAATTCTGCAAGTTTCCAAAAAATGGATTTTAAACAGGTATGGAAAATAAATATTTTTAAATATAATAAAAATAATACTTTTTTATGATGATGAGTAAAGTACTCTCCTAATAAAATGGCTCTTAAGTTTCAACACAATTCAAAAAAATTGTTTTCAATTTTAGGAAAGCATAATTAAATGTTTAACAATATAATGTGAATAATAATTGTTTAGTCGTGTAACTTTTTTTAAGTATTACTCAATATGGTACTTTACTGTTAAAAGAGATATGGCTATTATCGCGACTGGCGCTTTAGACTATCCCCTACAACAATTAGGTTTGCCATCACCTACTAATTGCAATTGTTTATATTGCGATATACG